CCAAGGGAATGAACACTTTCAAGGAAGCCCACATCCCCAAAAGAGAGAGAACCTAACGTGCAGAGAGAGAAAGAGAAGGTATAGCAAACATGACTGCCCACTCAATATCTTGGAGCTTGACCAAGAAAGGAAGTGAAGAGAACACCCAAATGAATAACATACTGCAGATGAGTAGTAAATGACTTCTCCATCCTGAAAAGAAACCCCACCTGGGAAACTTCTCAAAGAAGAAAGTGACTGACCAGAAACAGGAAGAGGTGAGCATAAGCCTGTCATCCAAGAAATGGTGAGTCTGAAGACCCAGTGAGTGAAGACGATGTGTAAAAAAGTGTACCACTTACAAAACACATACAGAACTGAAGGAGGACAGACTGGAAGCATTCAGAACTGGAAACAAAACCCTTTTAGAGGAACCAAAGAAAAAGAACATGACACTGGGGCAGAAAAACCCACCGAAATGAAAGGTAGGACTCCATGGTGGAGCGAGGCATCTCCAGATAAGTATACAGCCAGGACAGATCAATAATGGGACTCTAAAACACGCATGCATTTGAGACAAAGAAAAACTGGAGTAAATTCCTGACTGAGTGGGCACCACCCATTCGATAGCTCCTTTGTGTAGTAGAAGGAACTCGAACAGACTCGGCATGATGACTGGACAAGGTATGATCCCAAGGAGGATTGAAAGCTGGGAAGTAGGAGCAAAATGGAAGTAAAAAACCCTTAGAGAGAACCTGTATAAATAACAGAACAGTCGCAAAGCGTGGCCAAAAAGCCACAAACTAAAGAATTTAGAGATAGTACTCAGAAATGTGTAGTCTACAAAATGCATAAAAATTACAAACAAGTAAATCTATGAAAATCGACCTGAAACATAAAACAATAAGTAACCCCTAAAGTACAAAACCACTACAGGCACCGAAAAGATAAACAATCCTTAAATATATAACTTAAGTCCACTCAAAGAGGCTATAAGACAAAGGACAAGAAAATAAAACCTACCCTAAATAGCATGAGAATAAAAAAGCATAGACCTAACAAAATCAAAGTTTGAATCAAAACCAATCCCCAGTTTGATGTGACTAGTTGTAAAGTAAATAAAAGAACTTAATAATAAATAATATTAACAGAGAAAAACATCTTTATTTTAGACAAAATTAAAGAAAGAAAGAAACTCCAAATGCAAGTTTTAAAAGTAAAAGATGTATAAAATTCGAACTTACCCAAAACTGAGCATAAAAGATATGAATAATGTAAATTATTGATTGTGGAAGTTAGACCCATCCACATGAGCTCACATAAACTCAATAAACATAGATACATCTACGAGAAGTGAGAAATACACACTGAAAACCTTACCACAGATCTCCTGGGAAAAAAGAACAACACCTAACCCAGCAGATTAGGAGGAGGCACATTAACAGGTGGAAAGTGCCGTAGAAAGAACTTTCCACACATTAGCAGTATCCCACTGCACAAAAATCGTAACTTGAAAGGAAAAATATTGCCGGCCAAACATACGACACAAACTCCCCATGAACTAAAGCCTGTGCCTCCCCAGCAGACATTGTTGACCCTGAGACTTGGGGACTAGTGCGGGAACCAGTGTCTACTAATGATGGTGAAATTATCATCCACCATATTAAATCCTGAATTCACATGAACAACGTATAATTTGGGAAACAGAAACAAACGAGCAGAAACAATGGAAATCAAACACAAGTCAAAAGAAACAGAGACAAACGAGTAGAAACAATGGAAATCAAACACAAGTCAAAACTTTAAATTGAAACTGATATTAATTGGCCATCAAGCACAACCAAAATTGTGTATTCACATGGAGAATAAGTTAAAACACACATCTATACACTAAAATGCTAATCGAAAAAGTGAGGATTGTGCTCAGATGGTAGAGTATAAGTGGCACAGTATGGTTGTTGGTGGAAGGTAGTCACATGATCAGCACATATTGCTGCAATTAAGCAAAAAATATTGGGGTATAAAAGACTGGTGAAATGTTGAAAATTATAGCAATGCTTAGAGAGCAAATGAAGGTCAAGACAGCTTTGGGTAACAGAAAGTAGTACCGTTTCAGAATGAGCAATAAGACAACTGGACATGTTATGTGACATAGAAAAATTGATATTTAGCATTTTTCTTTATTTTTCCTTTTAAATTAAGAAATTAAAACATATATATTAAAATTTCAATTATAAACTACATTTTGATCCCAATTTCATTGACATATTTAGTAAAAAAGGTATTTAATAAAATTTGGAAAATAACTCAAAAACGTCATGACTTGTGCACTTTAACCTGCCTAGGGCAAAATGGTTAAACGAATAGCACCATTGACAGTTACTGGTGTGGGTTAATCTGCCACAACTTAAAAATTTGTGCCAGCCCTTCTATCAACTTGTGGACGTGCACCCTCTTCTGTTGCAGTGTTTACGTCAGCAGTAGCCATGTCTACTTACACTACTTATATGAATTAAACTGACTTACTTCTACTCTTTCCTTTACCCCTGCTGTTAGTTGCTCAAAAAATCCTGGAAGACTGCCCCAATTTATAACGGGATGCCATGTAGGCTAGTCATTTGAAGATTACTTTTTAGCACAATTGGGTCAGATAAAAATCAGCAGGTTCAGCAGCTTCTTGATACGAGCCAAGACTGATTTTGTGGTTAACAACATAACTTTTTATACATAATTTTGGGTATTGTTACGATTCTCCAGTTAGTGTACACATCCAACTCACAAGTAGATCTGTCACTTTATTGGATGAATTTTGTCGAATTGTCGTAATTCTTGAAACTAGAACTAAATCAGTAATTGGTTATGATTGAGGGTTGGTAAATTGGCAACCTGTTTACATGAATTTCTCCTCATCTCCTTTTGATCAAAGTTCCACCAATGGTCTCCAATTTCCTTTCTCAGTCTTTTTATAGAACATATTTTCTGCCTTTAATGAAATTAACATAAATTTTCCCATAGCTTCCAATCTGCTACAGGTGCATCTGTTTATGTAGATAAGACAAACTCTTGATTTACATTACAGCATATACATTTCTTTTTTTGATCAATCGTCGCAAGACTTCTCTTATGCTTTCAATAATATGACATATGACATGCATGTGATACATGGAATTGTATAAAAGCATTTGAAAGTCTCATAGAATGCTTCATGGATCAAAGTGAAATACAAATATTACTGAACAGCTCAGTATGGAAGGGCATGTAAATTCTCCAGAATTCTGTGATCCCTTCCTCAAAATTAAATACCCATCACATTTAAAATAAAATAAAATCACACTATTCAATCACGTTAAACAATGACAAGACTGAAATCTAACCTAATAACATACCTGACACAAATTAGAAGTTTTTATGAACAAGGCATGACAGAAATAACTCGCATGGAGTACCTCATTGTAACCACTTCTTTTGTCCAAGTTTTGTACAACAGAAATTATGGTACAAATATTAAAACTTTTCAGTTATCCACACACAAAGCAAATGGCAAAAGGTGGTCACATGGTCTACACCTCTGACAACTATATATTTTGAAGAAAGCATAAACCTTGAATCTGGTGGTTCTTCAGGTGAGATCTACCACTGAAATAAAAAAACAAGACATATCCTTCAAAGTGTATTTTCAATAAATGATTAACTGGAGAAAAAAAGTGAGAGAAGACTCAGAATAGCGTATACATGTATAACCACAGTAAATCAAATCTTTTACAATATTCTCATCACAGCCTTCACTTCAAGCATTTTTGTCAATTTATTAATTTCCAAGAAAATACATACATGTTCTTTATTCATAGGTCAGTGTATAAGAAAACAACTTTTGAAGGTGCACCTATCATAAACTTCTGTATAAATGTCTGACCCTCAGTAATACCCAAACTGTTGAAAACAAAAAAACTTGCTTGATATTGGAATTGTTCAAAAACTAACAATACTTAACCACTTTATATTTCAGAAATGTTTCTCAGAGCAGTCAACCTTATATTAAGAGAAAACATTGTTTGACAAACTGAAAATGTCTAAATAAATACAGTTCAGCAACTGTTCTCAACTTCAAGCTTCTGATCAATAATTCATTATGTACACACTCTTACTGCTTAAAATAATTACTTCACCAACAGAAAACAGCAAAGCTTAAAAGCATTAATGTTGTCTCTTAAAAGTTTTGAAGTGAAGATTTACAATTTTCTAAAAATAATTATTTTTACTTTCTGAGCATTGATAGTGACACTATATGAATAGTCAAGACATGACAAATAGTGGCACATACCAGAAACAAACTTGACAACGTGAAGTGTTCATTGGAATTATGAAAATTAAGAAAAATAATAATATATTAAACAAGGATGGGGGGGATTAACAGGGCAAAATTTATATAGATTGTGCGATATTCTGCAAGAAAAATGTAAATTAAGATATCCCATGATTGAATAAATGGTATAAACAATGTAACGTTCGTGTTTTCTACAGTGCTGAAGGTGAGAAGTGTGAACATGTTGAGTGTACTTGAAGCTATAGATCAGTCTTAAATAAAATGTATTGAGTAAACCAAAAAAAAATTGCTTTTTTTAACTATTTACTTTAGTTTTGATTTCAGATATCTCTGTTTGATATTTAAAAAAAATATGTTCACTTTTATTTGTAGTTAATTTTTGTTTTATTAAATCTTAACATAATAATTCTGGATGGTTTGGAAGGAAGGGTGTAGCCATTAACTGTGTAAAAAATGATGTTGATAGGATTCTTCGAGATATTGAACAGTATTATAGTACACAGATGGATGAAATGCTTATGAAAGCTGAGCTTTTGATTACATTTAAAAAAAATAAACTAACTTTTTTTTCTGTTTTATGTAAGTATAAGCTTTTGAAATGATCAGTACATAAACAGTCTTGTTTCATATATTATTTCAAGAGCTGAAACAGGATATAGAAGCAAGAAAAAATTGTCTCATTGTTATAAATCAATTGAAGATATTTATGCCAAAAATAAAAAGTATATATTTCACCATTAGCCTAATATGTTAGTATAATGCAACACATGATTCAATGGGGAAGTATTGGTAGTAGATCAAACTAAAGATAACAATCGGAGAAATATTCATGGAATAAAAGAAAATAATAATTTACCTTTTTTCAGGCACATAAAAAAAATTGGAAAAAATAGACTACAATTTATCATAAACCTTTCTCTATGATCATGCCACAACATTAACAATCATGTCATAAAAAAGCTAAAAAATATCAGCTTTTTATTTTTAGTATATAGAGCTATAAGATTGTATTCTTAACAAGAATTAGATAATTAAATAGTGTTGTTGAAATGTGTAGCAGTTGACAGAGGTTTTGACCCAGATATCATTGAAAGAGCAGTTAAGAAATGTATGGAACTAACTTCTGATAATAATAATTTGGTTAAAGTATCTGAAAAACTAGAAACAAAGTTTTAATTTTAATCTGTATGCCTAGTTTATCTTGTAAAGTTTTTAATACTTCAAAAAATAGCAAAGTGTTAACCCCATAGTTTTATATAAAACCAATAAATAAGATTAATCAGTTATTAAATAAAACTAAGGAGAAAGTGAATATAATGTGGAAAAAAACAGGTATTTACAAAATTAGTTGTGAATGTGAAAGCATATACATTGGTAAGGCTAAAAGGAACCTAAAATATAGTGAATGAACTTAAGCAAATTATCTTTCAGAAGTGAATATAATTGAAGTCTCTAAACCATTTGAATAATTAACAAACTGTTTAACTTTCTATAGAGGTGGGGGAAGAAATAACGTTTGGTTCTAAAGTTGATATTTGAACAAACCCTGTCGAAATCTTAGAATGAGCCAAGCTTACATTATCTATAATACACTACATACACATATTGATCAAAAAAGTAGAAATCTCTCTTATTTAATATGCTAAAAAACCACATGCTCTCATGACTGCTTGTTAATGCCATAGCATGGATTCTATAATATTGTAGGGCAGAGAAGTCCATTTTACTACATTCTTCCTGCATTCCAACCTCTAACTCCTTGAAAAATAATAATAGCGGATACACTGTCACAGCCCACATTTCAGTACATCCCATTCAGTACATTCTGTGTCATGTTCTGCAAGCCATTTGTGTGCACATACAGCATGGTGGATTAACATCCTGGAGGAGGTAATGCTGTAGAGATGAAGCACTGCTGACTGCACTTTCGTTCAATATAATACTCAAGTATTCCTTGGAAGTTACTTGTCCCTCCACAGTAGCAGAGGGCCCAATCCATGCCAGTTGAGCATCCACCACACACTTATTCCACTGCTAGACTCAAATAAAAAAATTTGATAGCCTGAAAGACAACCTCGAGTGGTCAGAAACTTTGCTTCTCTTCACACTGCATGGTGAAAAGGTAAATGCCAAATGAATTTTGGTAGAGCCACTAGGCTTAGTTTTATTTCAACACATAGAGTGGATTATTGAGAGACGCATGAAGACGAGGAAGATATTGACTCAAGTGCATCAGAAGAGCCGTGTAAACACCACTGTTAGAAGACTGAACAGTAGACATGACATATAAAGGATTCTTGTGTTAATGTAACCAATGCCACAAGTTCACCATGCTATTGGTATAATGTAGCACTAACTGAGATTTGTCAAACCAAATAACTTTTCCATTGGTCCACCATTCAATCCTGACTCTGTAGGCACCTTTCAGTGCAATCAGGGTCTATTTTTTAGCATAGAAGGTTGGTTTCCAGAGTGTCAAAACTGTAGGTTCTGAAGCTTCCTGCTCATGTTCGGATAGAAATGCCTTTCACCTATCCTTGAATGAAGGCACTGGTCAATTACTATACAGAGAATCACCCGTTTTCTCTCACAGACCCAACTAAACAAAGTTGATCACCCTTCCACCGTAAAAGTTTCCCCCTTCTTGATGGTTTTCCCATCCAACAACTATGCCTTGTACAACTGTGAGATGGTCACCTTGGAATGTCTTCTAACAGTCATCATTTGGGTAATGGTTGCATCAAAAATAATGCCTTTCTGGAAGTCGGAGCCCTCTGTAATTTTTCCATGTTCTGCAGTCTATTGATACCTGTGTCACAGGTCAGCTGTATTTATATTTCAGTGAAATACTTGATATGATCATATAACCACCTGTTTTACATACACACACAATTGGGAAATGGCAAAAACTATTTGAGGACAGGTTTATTAATTTTTTGACTAACAAAAAGTATGGAAAACTTATTTACCTGTGAATATACAATTTTCT